TATAAAAAGAACTGATACCTGACAGAATAAGAAAATGGCTAATGTTAATGAGAGTGAGGCCAGCAGATCTTGATCTTCTGTGGTTGATAGGTAAAAACCATTTTTTAAAATGTTTTCTTAATGTATGGGTAGAGGTAGCCTTATTAGCCTCTGTGAACAGCCCTTATTCTTATGCCTTGGCTGTTACCAACCCCATTCCCATCCTGAGAACATACCTGTGTTTAGGCTTCAGGCCAAACATTTCATGATCAAATCTTTGATTCATACGTTTTTCAAAAAATGTACTTGTTAATGCTTGACCGCATATCTTTGATAGAAGATGTTTAAGTCGAGAAAAGTGTACCACATCAAAAGGATATCCACAGTCCCCTACACGATTCAGGATCCAAGCCCCTCTCCTGGTGCTGAGGAATACCTAAGGCATGGGAAATATTGTTCACTTTTGTCATTCTGTCTCACTATCTGAAAGCACTGTCACTTTCTTCAAGATTAAGTTCATACTTACTAGTGTGGCATTTTAGTTCTGTACAATCTTTTAAAAATTTTCCTTCCCAAACACTGTCAAAGGATATGTCTTGTTGTGATCTACCACTACATTTCTGTTTAAAGCCAATGTGCCTGAAAAGTCCTCCTCTTTTGAATTCTGTTCAGCCCATTCATTTTTAAGGTCCAGATCAAGTCTGCATCCTCCATGAGAATACTACTGACCTTTCAGGCTGATAATTCTCTCTCCCTTCTCTGAACTTCACTAGCACTTACCACATCTAGGAATCATTAAAAATCATACCCCATTTGATTCAAATGTATGATATGTCAAGATCATTGTACTGTCATGAGCAACTAATAAAAATAAACAAATAAATAAATAAAAATCATGGAATAGGGGCTGGGGTTGTGGCTCAGTGGTAGAGCACTTGCCAGCATGTGTGAGGCACTGGGTTTAATTCTCTGCACCATATAGAAATAAATAAAATAAAGGTCCATTGACAAATAAAAAATATTTTTTAAAAAAAAGTCATGCAATAGACCAGGTGCAGCAGAGCACACACCTTTAATCCCAGTGGCTCTGGAGGCTGAGGCAAGAGGATCATGARTTCAAAGCTAGCCTCAGCAACTTAGCAAGGTCCTAAGCAACTCAGTGAGACTCTATCTCTAAATAAAATTTAAAAAGGTCCTGAGGGTGCTGGGGTTATAGCTCAGCAATAGAACACTTGCCTCACACATGTGAGTCACTGGATTCAATTCTCAGCACCACATAAAAATAAATAAATAAAGTAAAAAGATATTGTGTCCATCTTTTAAAAAATGTTTTTTTAAAAAAGGGGTGCTGAGGATGTGGTTCAGTGGCTAAGTGCCCCTGGGTTCAATCCCGAGTACCAAAAAAAAAAAAAAAAAAAATCATGTAATAATAAAACTGAAAACAACTGGATATCATTTAATCCAAAATCTCCAGTCTTTTTGTCATTGACATTGTTTGCATTATTAAGGACTATTATTTACCATTTATGTCATTTATATGATGTGAAACTTTCT